AACGTACGTTGCACTGCTCAAAAAGCGAACCGAAACGAAGTTTGTGTGACCGACTACGTGCTGGACAAATGTCGTGCTTGCAATGGTCGCTTGGGCACTTGTTGGTCACCCCACCCCACCTAGGGAAGTCGACAATTAATCATTGGTACATCCGATTTCTTTCGCATTCTTGAAAGGTTCCTTATTATACGAACAGTGTTCTGAAAGATTTATTCATTAGCACTTATTCGGTTCCGTTTGCAGAAGTTGCTTCACAATTGCAATAATCGAATGTTTAACATGCTATTATGTATGTAATTATTATGATTAATGTTTCGCGTAACATTGTTGGTGGTATTGACAGGTTGTTATCTGTAACGTTCTCTGAACTGAATAAAACGTCACTTTTTTACTTTGGGGGGGGGGGGGGGGGGGGCCNCAGCCTAAGGTGACCTCAGCCTCATCTAAGCGTAGCCTCAGATCGCTCGATGCTACAGCAGAGGCTAGCAAGCGAACTCAGGCTTAGGCTTAGGCTGAGACTACGCTTGGGCTCAAGCCATGTGCAGTAGGCGTGGCATGCGCGAGCTTGCTCGTGTGCGATCCCCCCAAAATAAAAAAGTGCCAATAAAACTTAGTTACAACTTGTCCTCTGGATTACTGAAAACCAAGATTCTATAACAACGTTAATTGAGCCAGTTGTAGTATTCAGATGTCAGAGATACAGCGACAGCCTCGACGATTATCAACGGATGGAGGTGCAGACGACGGAGATCAGTCAGATGGTGATTGAATTTTTATTATCTCACTTAGCGTTTCAACGCTTTAAATATTATTTTCCATTGGTCGGTATTAACAACGGAATTTTTTTTGCTTGCTGGTCGTTTTAAGTAGCTTAAGGTTGATATTAAGTAACGTTTTTTTCAGTTGAAGTAATCTTTTTTGCTTGCTAATCATTTCTGGTAATGTTGTGATTAACCTTTTCCTGGGAGGAGTGCTCTTACAAGCCTTAGCTTGGACTTCAGATGAGCCTCAGTTCAGCAGCTCAGGTTTGAATGTGAACCTGAAATGAACCAAAATCCCAAATTAAGTTTTAGACTGAACCGGTTCATTCACTTAACCACACGAGGAATCTCAGCCAAAAGCAAGGGTTATCCTTTGCCTGAGTTTTTGTGTGCAGCTCGCTTTCCTTTCATATATGCATTAATTGCAAGACTACTTTATTTTGTTCTAACGTTCCTTTTTATGATCGGAACATTTCGAACAGTTGTGTTTTTTTTCCAGACATGTGCATTTTTGCTCTATAATCTGAGTAAAATCAACGAACTTCAGATGCACGGAATGTAGAGAATGGTTATAGCACTCCAGCGACTGTTACAACACGCACTTCGTATCATTACAATAGACGTTCACATTTAACGTCCACAACGATGAACAGCGCCTATGCGGAGGTTTCTTTGATTTCTTCGTTAATTTTCTTCAAATTCAATCCATCCGATTATTTTTCGAAATTCTGACATTCTCAACATTTTGCATTTATAAATCCAGTCAAATCCAGCTTACTCACGTAGCTCGCCATCTGCACCTCCATAACAATAATAATAATAATAATAAATAATGATAATAATAATAAATGTAATGGTATTAGTGATAATAATGACAATAGAAATCGTAATGGACACGAGAGAATTTATTTAGTTTCAGTTTGCTTAAGTTTTCAGCAGACTTTTCAATTTGATAGCTTCGTTATACAAGTAACAAGCGATCACATTCTTCCATCGCTGTGCCATCATGAAGGCAGAGGTGGATCGGTGCAAGATTGTAAGGTTCGTTGTCTTTAAACAGCAGCAGCATTGTGTTGTTCATTCGGTAAATAAGTGTTCATTAGTTCGTATTTCATCGAACAACGTTTTCGCATAAATGTTCGTTTGATTGCATCATTGCAGGTTTGCGAATACAATGCCATATTGAGCTTACCTCATCTGCCTGAGATGGTTTTCCCGAATAACGTTTTGATGATACAAGATACAACGCGTCCAAATATAAAGCTGTCTTTCAATGCTTTGGATGCCCTCAAAATGGTTAACGCAAACACATTGCCGGACGTGCAGGTAAGCATTGAAATGTTCGCTTTTATCTATTTCCATCCGAGAATTATCCTTTGAAACTAGAGTTACCTTCATCTTATGGATATTATTATTACTATTGATATGATTATCATCAAAATTAATGTGTTTATAATGAAGGTTGGTCCAAGTGCCATTTGGCAACAATCACGTATGGGTTGTGATGTGGTACGCAAGTTTGGTAATCCCTTCGACTGGACCTATTCAACGGATTATCAGGGCAGTGTCGAGGGTTTTAAAGTTGGTGCCGCATTAGCCTTGTTTCATCAAGTTTTTTATTTTTACATTTGAAATCATCAAACTTTTTTGATATCACTAAAGTGATCCTCATTTTCTATGGATAGTTGGTATTTTTTAATGAAACTTACGCGGTTTCTCAGGTGGAATCAACCGATGAGGCGATAGATATGGAGAAATTAACTCGGCGTGATCCGATTCATTTCTATTCACAGGTTGCGCTCTATGAGGATGAGTTGGCTGATCATGGTTGTGCACAGGTATTGATGACGATTCACTTTGTTTTATTCTCCTCTTGCTGTTAGTCTGGAAACAGCAGTGAAAGTGACACCATTATAATAGTGGGTTTTTGTTGATTGAGTGTTATTTATTGCAGTTGAGTGTTCGAATTCGTGTAATGCCATCGTGTTTCTTCCTTCTGTCAAGATTCTACCTACGTGTTGATAACGTTATGGTACGTGTGTGTGACACACGAGTTTATGGAGAGCACAATAAAGGTTATTTTATAAGGGAATGGTCAAAGCGAGAGGCAAAATACACCGAACTTTCACCATTGGTTTATTATCTTTAATTCATTCTTCCACTTATGATGATTACGTTTTGTTGCAAATTTACGTTTTGCAATTGAAATTTTTATTGAAATTTCTATCACTTTTTAGCAGTCCTTCGTTTTTGAGTTGCCGTATCCATACAGAAGAATTTCGTTTCATCCATTACAATGTTTTTGCCATCTATTCAGTGGAAAACAAATCATTCAATGAAATTTTTTCTCTGCCGTGGTATTTTCAAAATTTTCAGCAAAAAATTTCCATCGTTAACGATATCTCTTTCACATGCTTATTCGTTCATATGTTGACCGTTTCATTTATTCATCATTGGAAGTGAATTCAGGTACTTGAAAGCGTCCTAGATTCGAGTGCAATTTGGCAACATCTCCCAATTGTAGACTCAAAGCGCACAAAGTTATCAGTCGACGCGCGTGAAGGTCATCCGTAAAAGATACAAACATAAGGAATTTGAGTAGTGCAGCAGCAGCAGATTATTTTCGATCAGAGGATGTGTATTGCTTCTCACCCCCTCCCACTCTTCCTGCATGAGTGAGTTGTTGTTCAACGTATACAAATACAAATCGATATGTCATGTTCATGATTTGTAAAAGTGCTGCCTGTTTTGTTCATTTTTACGTGTGTGTTATATGTGTATCAGTTCAATCAACTCATGGTGCTAAATGCCACCTTAATTATGTTGGTGGTTTGACTAGATCTAGTATTGTTAAACTATGGAATGTTATGGCTTGCATATCTCTTTTTAGGCAGAAGTGGAAATAGAGCAGTTTAGAATATTTAGTAGCGAGATTGTTCAACTGTAACAAATCCTTTCGTTTTGTTTTTTTTTTGATTGATTGTTTGTTTCTTCTTGTATAGTTCATTATTACTGTATGTCGTTTGCTGTAGTTATTTTATGGTTATTGTTATTATTTATTAATATTATCATTATTATTATTGTTTTTATTAGTGTTATTATTATTGTTAATTATTGAGAAATTTAATGTATTAATGGTAATATGATTAACAACGAAAATGACGCTACATCATTTCATATATAATATGAATATGATGGTCCCCTATTCTTCATTGGTTTTGTTTTGTTCAGGTTTTGAAGGTATATTTGTTTTGCAAAATTGCTTATAATTCTATGATCTGTTTTGATTTTTTTTCTGTTTTATTTTGATTTGTGCATTTAACAGTCTCAGTTAATGTCCTCGTCGTTGTATAAGTCGAAAGCTTATGTTGATCTAGAAATTTTATGTGTGGTTATAGTAGAAAGTGAGAAACAGGGTGTTTTCAGTGAATTTTTAATGTTTGAGAGTTTGTTGATTTATGTTTGTTGTTCGTTTATATTGTTGTTATTACCGTCGTTGTTATCAATAACTATGAGCAGTGATATTGTTTTTAATATTAATCGTTTGATGAGTGATTTTTGAGAATGGAACCGTTTTTGTTCTTGTGTATTGTTCATTTCGTATTACTGTCACTCAGATCATGTTTTGCTCAATTACCCTTTTTTTCATTTCCGTTATGATTGATTGATAATTCATTCTTCATTTTCTTATACAACAAGAAAAAAGCTGTCTAACAGATGCGTATATCTGTATATATTATTAGTATCAACATCGTTTTTGTCATTATTTATTATCATTACTGTTGTTTATTAGTTAATATTATTTATTATTATTATCATGATTATTACTATTATTATTATTATTATTATTTTATTATTTTATTGTCACTTTCATCCATACTAACCGCAGATCCTACATGCACTGCACACAAATGGTTCTGATGGGCAGCTGGAAAGGGTAGCTATGGTATCAAAAGCAACTCCGGCGCAATTTAGCTCTCTCTAAGCTTAGCTTGATTCTTCTGATCCCCTCTGCCGCCTTGGTCTATAAAACAAGGCTAGTACCGCGTTAATCGCTGAACGTTGCCAGTCATACAATGGAACGGCGAAGTTAGCATATTCAAACTGTAATAGATCTTGCGACTCTAACTTCTTCCGTAATTCTCACCATCGATTTTTATTACTCTAAGTTTATCTTATTAGCAAATCTATCACTTGCGGCAATTTCTATCAGTTCAAATCTACCAGATTTCAGATTCCTACGATCATTTCAAATCTATCATGCAATTATAGCGGCAACTAACACAAACAATCAATAATTCACTACGTTACCAACCGGCCACATAAGATGAACACGGAAAGATGGTTGTGATCAAGCTGGTGTGGCATGAACAAACTGAGAATATGAAGAAACTTTTCATTTTATATCTTGAGGCAAAATGGCCATTCTAACGCACCATCTATGCATAGCAACAATAATACAGTGCAAGAAATAAAATACAAACAAACTACGACAACAATGCAATGATACGTGAAGTTCAACGGCGACCGATGAATGATCACCAAATAAATACAAAACAATCACTCAGTTAAGTGCATCACTGATTGAAAATTAATCAACAAAGTGTTACTTAAACGGCAGAATAAATTACAGCGAACCAACAAACGAAACAGCTAGATTTTAGATGCTATTTACTGGTCACACAAGAAGGCGGTTATTCCGTTCATATCAAAAATTTATTTTGCTGCTAATAGTTGGACATATCTGGTTTTCAGTGGTAAACCAATGAGAATAACCTTTACCATTCTACAATCCTCAGCAGATAACCCACATCGCACCAGTACTTCACCGTCGTGTTCAACATCACGATCGCTTGCCTTTCCCTCACCTACACTTTGCAGCGTTCTCGAATTCGCTTTTCGTTCAGTTGACCGGAGAGAGGACGTTTACGCATGGACAAATAGCTAATGCGCCCAACTTCTACCTATGGACAAAAATTTGTACTTTACATCAATTATGGCACGAAATCTGCTCTCAAAGATAGGAATGACGATAATAATAATAATAAATAAATAATAATACGAATAATAATAACAATAATAATAATAATTATAGTAATAACAACAATGAGTATAACTATGAATGATCAAAAGATAATGAAAATAATAATATGACGGCAAATTCAATCCAGAAATGAACAGCATTAAAGTCTGACTAGGTACTTTTAGTGAAAAAAAAACTAGTCATCATTGAGCGCTATCACTAGGAATGGTATTCAAAAATACCACCTCAGTTTGTTGTTGCGATAACATCGGCAAAATAATAGTATCGATCAGTCGTAACAGTGATAATGATAGTGAAACTTATAATAAATCAATAGAAACAAAAAGTTTCAACGGCACAATGGAAATGGAAGGTGAGATAATGAACGTTGGTTGAAAATACATTGTAAAAACTTTTTAGCTCTGTCAATAAAGTAGTTTCTCATATCGATCATGACCCATCAAAAATGTCTACAATTACTGATTGATTATGCGATTGTTCGGCAGAAGAATGCTTGAAATGGTCTAAGTGCACGCCAACAGCCTAGCAACAAACAAACAGTGGATTTCCGAAAGGTCGAACAGAAAGTAGATTTAAAAAAAACCATCCGTTAGTCAAAACGGAAAACTATCCGTTATGACTCATTACAAAACGCATTTTAGTCTAGCGTTCAGCTTAGTAATAATGAAGCAAATTTTACTCGGCCTATACTTAAGAAACAATAATAAGTGATTGTTTGTGTAAGCAATGAATAATAAAACTGAAAAAAACAATTCAAACAAAGTGTTTTCCAAAAAATTGAAATAATTAACGATAATAACAAAGTGATCAATAATAAGGATAGTAACAACTGAATTCAAGTGATTTAATGTGATCATTTACTCCAATGAATGAAGGAAGAGATAAAATGGAAAAGCAAAACGTATGGTACAAATACGAAATATTCAACAACCAATCAAATAATGAGAAAGTTTTTAGTACGCAGTATATAGTGACTGACGATAATAATGACACTGTTAATAATAACAGTAATAGTAAAAAATAATAGTAATAATAATAGCAATATTAATAATAATAATAATAATAACAATAATAATAAGGCGACAAGGCAAAACAGTGACACTTGATGGTAATTAGCGCCCCCTCCCTCACTCATCCTATATTGAACATTTCATTGAACAATACGCACGTTCGCATCCATCCACCTATAGATCCAATCATGGACAATAATCCACCGTAACGACCGCCTACCGTAACTAACCAGAAGAGCTGTTGCAGTTACTTACTCAGCACAAGTCTGATTCTGGAAAAGCACTAGTTGCTGTAACTGTAAAATCGGCCGGTTGGCTGACTGAGTGATGCGATGATGAAACGCGGCTGATGGGCTGTTTACAATTGTTCAAAGACAACGGGTTGAGCGGAAGAATGTATCTGAGAGTTGACTTCGTGTTGCTGTTGATCGTTGTTGTTGAGAAGAGAGTGTGTTTGCTGTTGCTGCTGTTCCTCTTCCTGTCTGGTACGATCATGACCACGTCGTCTAGCGTTCATGAAGAAATTCGCTACGGTTGTTGGATCAAGTTGAAGTTGTTGTGAAATAGTTAACTGCATTTCTCTAGATGGACGTTTCGTCTCTTTGAAGATCGCCTAAAGCCGCACCAATAACAACAGCGTTAATAAACAAGCAACAATTTCTCATTTACGTAATTAGTTGCACAAAGCAGAGAAAAGATTTTGCTGAAGAAATGTAAATGTTTGCTGCTTTTTGTAATAACGAAAAGAAGCGTTAAGAATTAAACTAATGTTGTGCTACCTACCTGGAGCGTGCGTCGTTGTATATCCGTGAAGACAAGCCGTGGCTTTTTTGGTGCACTTGGTTGGACACTACCATTCACTTGTTGTTCTTCTTTTCGTTTACATGCTGAATGATAGTGCAGTGTTCGTTCGGTCAAGAAAATTATCATATCTACCGTTTCATTATTCGTTTAATAAGCAAATGATTGAAGTTTGACGTAGATTTATCTACTTTGCTCACTCAAAGTTTAGGTGCTAAAGATTAGTGAATGCAACCGCAAATCCATCAGTTAATGCAGCCATATTTGTATACCTCATATCCACACTTAGTTCCTGAAGAATAGTTGAATAATGTGGTTGTTTGTAGCTATCCGACCGTTCGAGAAACAGACTCAGAGAGAAAAATCAATCATAATTTGAAATAGATACACACTCGTATTGTATAAATGATAATTCACTTAATTCTCCTCCTAACAGCAACAAGTTGTATGCGAGAATTAGTTGAATGAATAGGTGGATATAGATGAGATAAAGAACGAATGAACGAGTTTTTTTTTTTAGAAGTATGACAAAATAATAAGCATAATCTATGTGTGTATAGTGATAATGAATTACTGATTACTTATTGTAGAATGCAAAGATTTTCATGGAATTTAAGGTACGATTATTAGTTGATAACAATTTTTTGAAAGCCACTGCAAAAGGACGAATTACTGCAAAAAGAAGAGACATATTATGGACTGATAACCAGTATTTTGGTGATTCATCATACATGCTTTCTTCCACCCACCCATCCATTTATCCATCCCCTAGAATCAGTAATAAGAATAGTGAACGAATGGAACAAACAGAGGATATATGATGGATGCTGATGAACGAGTCAGATAGATACATGGAAAGATCCGATTATGAATGGATCAACAAGAGCATTTTATGCCTGATATATACTATACTTTGTATGGATGATACATGCTTGTGAGAAGGAAGCATCATACAACAACTTGTAATGTGTTCTATCCACTGGTCCTTTCGTCTCTCGTTGAATAGGCTTATCAGACCTATGGGCTTAACTAGCTACTCTTAGCTAGCTATCCTCACTGCTCGAAGCATGCTCAAAGTGAAGCTGAAGCTTACAGCTGCTATCGCTCTGTATATCACAACGTCACAACACATCGCACATCTACTTGCTTATTTACCATATTTAGCAACTACTTTGTATTTCTTTTCTTTTCATCATCTTCTCTCCCTCTTATTCATCGCTCAGCATTTTGTCATAACAATAACTAGACTAGGCCACAACTGCCCCTTTCCTTTATCTCTTTTCATCGTCTCTTCATATTAAACAATGCGAGTTGCCAGTCCAGCTGGCTAGCTACCGCTGCTATCTTATCAACCAACAATAATTTTTACTAGTTGGCGTTTTCCTTTTCCGGACCTCCCACACAAGCGAATAACCACATATACACAAATAAACATGCGTTCATGTAACGCATGATGTAATGCTAGATATCACGTAACTAAAAACACCACTGCTTAACCTCAAGAGCTGGAATAAGACCTATGCAAGCCTCAGTACCAGGGTCTAAGTTGATACTTGGGCAAGCTTCCATCAACCTGAGGTCAAGCTTCAGACTAAAATTCAGCCTAATGCTTCTCACACATCGCAAATTCCACGTGTATTTGCATAATTCAAATAAATTCAGAATATTTAAATATGAACAATTATAACGATGCAAATATTGCACAATTGATACCTTGAAGTGATCAAAAAAAGAGCAAACTGAAGAGCTATGAACTAAGCGCGCGGCACTAACCTACCTGCAAGCCGTAAGGCAGACATCCTCTGGAATTCGGGTTCCTGTAACCATTTAGCCATTCGTCTGAACGTCTCTCGACCACTTTTTAGCTTTGACCACGGTTTTGGATTCCTTAGCAAGTCAGATAGCGTGCCTTGGGATCTGATAAATTGTTGTGATCTTACATACAAGAAGAAATTTGGTTACTGTATCCGTTGGAAGATACTTATTTATGAATTTATCTGTGAAGAATCATCAATAAACATCCATCAATAATCAGTCAAGCTGTATACGAGAACACTCGAGAAAAATGGCTTGCGACTGACTGGAATCTGGTAAATAAGATGAACCAATTAATAAATGAGATCGTTGATCATCATCAGATCGCTAAGTTGCTTTTCAAACAGACAAACGAACCGACAGAGGACGCGTTGCGCGAAAATCGCCTGTGGGATCGAGTATCGTTTTAATTCGGCCGAAATCCTCTGTGCTAAATCTTTCGTGTTCAACTCATCCATATCACTTCCACCCGAATCCGGCGAGCCGCCGGATGGTGGCGCCGAACGTTCGCGTAGCGGAGATGAAACATTCTGTAAACTATGAGTGCGCTTACATTATTTTTAATCTAATGCGTTTTTATGACTATTATTATTATTATCACTATTCTCATCATCTAATTCATAAGATTTTATTAGAATTTCAGTGCTGATCAGTGAAATAAAAATTTATCATCAGTATGTGAAATATGAACCAATTTCAGTTAAATCTTACTCTTGCAGTCAGTGAGATCGTTCAGAGATAAGTTATTAACTTGTTAACGAACGTATCCGCTAGGAATTAACTTGTTCTAGCAATCGAAGTCAGGTCAGAATGCATCAATTTATGACCGAAGGCTCTGGAAAGGAGATGAAACAGTCAACGAACAAACTCGTGAAAAAGCTTTAAAAAATGATCTAATGTAGATACCGTATCATTATTATTATCAATGCTGCTCGCTTCCAGAAGATCTGTCGCAGTGGCGAACGTATCGAATGAATTCGCTGTTGAGCCAAAACAGAGTTTGTCATCATCTTTAGCTGACGAGCATCTCAACTCGATGATGCTCGAATAGGAGGGTGGCACATAGGGTGATTGTGAGGGCGAGAAGGGTTCGGCGAGCTGTTGCTGCAGTTGTTGTGGTAATGTGACCGCCACTGTCGCATACTCAGTGCTGACTGCGTTCGCCGTCGTTGTCATAGTGGTTGCTGCAGCGGCAGCCGTTCGATGCGGATGCGGAACAATCTCTGAACTAGCAACGTTCGTAGCATTGTCGCCATTAACGACAACTGAAAGGTCGCTAACGTTTGAGTGCTGTTGTTGAGAAGGTGGCGATTGCTGGACTGGTGAAGAAGAAGACGATGATGGAGGCACAGTTGCTTGTTGCGGTTGCAGTTGCTCATCACTTGAGTCTTGCTCGCTTTTCATGTCATACTCGTATTTGATATTTACATTATAAGCGAACGTTTGAAACGTCAACGCAACCGGACTTGTATTGGCGCTGTGTTGCGGTGAATGCGCTTGTTGCTGTTGCTGTTGGTGATGCTGAAAGAACAGAGCATTGGGCGTTGTTGCGGTGTCGTTAGTGCAACGTGTCTCGGAAACACTCTGCGGACTAGTGGATCGTGTACCGCCGAATTTATCGGACGATGACGATGAAGATGAGTTGGTCACTGTCGAAATCGGTGGTAACGGTTGAAGGGGTTGTAGCGTTGTATACTGATTAAAAACAGATGCTGTCACTGACGCAACTGCATTCGAAACACCGCACGCTGTGCTCACTTGTGTAGAAGGACTTAAGCGCCCACTGCCGTTCAACAAGTGATAACATGTCGACGTTTCAGCAGTACCACTCATATGTGAATGGTGATGATAGTCATCTGTGGCATGTGTCGACGGAATGGCCGGTGAACGACTCGAAAGCGCGGCTGACAACAGTGGATCACAGGTTGAACTCGTCATTGGACCTGACTCCAATGCTTCCATCTTTAACGCCAACCTTTTACTGATTTATTGCACCCGTAATTCAACTGATAATAATAACAAAACTGATACCGGTGAACTCTCGGATTACTCAGCTTGAATCAGCTGCAGAATCACATGCACTGGTGAGACATGGTGAACAAATAAAATTGAGATAGACCTAACGGCAACTCGATCAGTATTGAATGACCATGAAGATCATCTGGTGTGGGCTGATCGAACTCATAAAACTGAACTTGCTTGATGTGACTGATCAGATATCAATGACGGAAGTAACAATAACGGATCATTAACTGGCGGTATACATGCGAATCGACGATTTGTCTAGTTCAGATGAATTTTTGCGAATACAGTAATGTAGAATCGACAAATTCTGCTGGAATTTTCGTGTCACTTATATCTATACATGTATGATGCAGTTGCAGATTGGCAGAATGAATAAACGAATAAACTGTAGAAGATATGATAAGACTGTAGTTCAGAGCGATTCATACGAAGCGATCACCAATGGCTGGCGCTCTGATGATTAGTGTACTGTAATTATGAACAACTGAAGAATGCTGCAGCAAGAATCTGAAATTAAATAAGTGGATGGATGCACGATGAAATATAAACAGAACTAAAATGGACTGTGCTCGCCACAGTGCAGCGACACAATAAGTCATTAGGTCAGGACGCATTGCAGCAAGAGGGTGCGATACCCTAGTAAAGCGACGAATCAAACAATATCCATGCCAAACAGTGATAAAATACGAAATGTTTTTTCGTAAACAACATTAATGATGATAATGATAATAATAATAATAGTGAAAATAATAGTAATAAAAATAATGGTGAAAGTAATAATGATAATAGTGATAATGATAATGATAATGATAATGATAGCAACAATAATAACAACAATAACTTTACTAATAAGCAATAATCACTGCTAAAAGCAAGAACAGCGTTCAGAAACTATGGAGCTGAACGATACTCGAATTATTGTTGTGACATTATCACAGTAATAATGCTAACAAAAATTACCCAAACAGTTCCACCAAAAGCATTATCATTCAACAACGGATCTGTGTGATCATAACACGATGACACGGCACTAACTGCCTGACACTTGACAGCTGCAGCATTTTCTTTGGCTAGCTAGCACTCTTGGCTGCTTGCATTCCTTATTAATGCCCCACCACCAAAACGTGTGCACGCGCGCGTCTAAACAAACCAACATTTTAAACTATATAAATATCTCTCTATAACTATTATATATAT